CCGCTTAGTTTACGGAGTCCTTAACACCCAAATTGCTGGCGGTGCAAACGGGAGCTGTCTGTTAAGGCCGCCTTAACGCTAAGTCGTCCATAAATACACACGGTGTAAAGGGCCATCAAAGACGAACTTAAGATCGTGTCATCGGTTGGTGCAATCCATTTTTGCAGTTAGGCTCGAGCTTAATGCTAAGCATAACCTTAAGTCTTCCTTAAATGTTTGGTGCAAGTGGGCATAAGCGACACTTAAAACTAATCTGCTGCACCGTCCAACTTTATCATCCGCTTAACTAATGGCTGTATTTATAGACGACTCTCAAGTGACACTAAACACTCAAGTGACTGTCATGATGAAAAATGCGTTTTATAGTCGTCACTTCGAGATCAGCTGACGTGTAAGGGCGACTTGGACTTGAGTGTGGAGTATAGAACCCTTGAGTGTGTTTTTCTAACCTAACCATTCTGGCGCCAAACCTTCTGTCATAGTTTAGCGGATAATTACCATTTGTTATTCACACGTTTTGTTAAATATATTATTAATATGGAGGATTTGGAAGAATTTATGCAATATGTTGATTAAGAAATGCACGAATGGGTTCCAAAGAGATACATACGAGATATGCAAGATCTTTTTTCCAGTTCTACGGAGAGCAGGAATTTGTTCAGAAATCGGTTTCGGAAAAAAACCGTTATCGATGTATTTAGCTGTACCTTTAGCTTTAAGTAGAATTGGAAGTGCATGTAGAAGAGGTTTACCTATTCTTGCTCATTTGCAGCTTCAGATAGCATTAAGGTGATATAATATGCTAGCTACTGGCAGTTTCCAGGTAGGTCAGGTGATAAGTGCTTAATAGAATTACGCTTACACGAAAACAACTCTCATTATGTAATATACTATTATATTATGATGAATGATTACAAAACTGTGCGTCTTTTGTCTAGCTGAATATACGGTTTTCCTCTGGCGCTCCATTTGTTTACCATGGCCTCTTCAAAATTCGCTTTATCCGTCAAACTTGTCTCAATCTATGATAAATGCCAATGGTACCAACCGGACGATCATAAGAAACTTGATCCGTCACTTAACGGCCACTTTTCCAAGTCACTCTCGAGTTGGAACTATAAAATGGCTTCTATCTCAAGTGTCAAAAGTCACTCAAGTCGTTATTCGATAAGTGTCTCTCAAGTGCCACTTGACACTTGGACTATAACTACGGCCATAAGTTCCACCTAGTTCAGGGATTTTTGATAATTTTAGAGGATTTCTTACCTGCCTATTTTCGTACCTGCCTAATTTAAAAGCTTCTGACAGAAACGTCTGCGAGAAAACGATCGTTGCACTTTCGACTACTCGTTATTATCTATGCGCTGGACTTTACTTTTGAAGACGATTGAAAGCGTGTTAATCTGTGTAGTGTGTTTTCAGTGCGAAAAAATGAAAGTAAATGGAATACCCAATGAAATCGGAAAATACTAAATCATCAAAAAGAATGTGCGCACTCCCAATTATACCAATTAGGAGAAATATCGGTTATTAGAAATATGCCGATACTATAGTATATATAGTATATAAGGGATAACCGAAAACAAGAAAACTGACTCGTGCACGTGGAGAGAAAAAGACAATGCCTGGAGTAAGATCGCTGCCGATTTCAACGCCTCGTCACCAAGTAAAGTCTTCCGCAGTAAGAATCTTTGCGAAAATGCTACGAAAAAAAAAGAAATCCGAATGGTTGTGTCCCAAGAAAAAAAATCGATAATACAGACCGGCGTTGGTGCAGCATTTACACCTTCCCAGGACCATTGTAATGAAATTATTAAAGACGTCAGAAATGAAAGCCGCAGACCGTAAAAGAGAGCGAGAAGAAGCAGAGCATGCTCTAAAAGTAAAATGCTTACAATTAGACATTGCTCTTAAGGAAGCCGAATTAAAAAAAATAAATATATCGGAATAAAAGAAAAAAATAGAATTGGTGTTTTTATATAAATATATTAGTTGTACCATTACAGTCTCTTTGGTTAGTCGAAACTTTTTAAAAAATATGTAATCATCCAAATCATGAAAATGATTTGCACGATTGTTAATCCGCCTTGGCACGCCAAATTCAATGATCTCCAATTCATCTATATCGTCGTCATCGTCCCATATTAAAGAATTCATAAAGAACGCCATGATTTACCCTATCAGCTATCCGCCGAACAAGAATGTACCATAACATGATTTCAACGGTGTGTTTTTGGTTATGTATATATTTGTAACCCGTCAACCGCGAGTACGGCTTAGGCTAAGTGCCACTTAGACTGGTTTAAGTGGCGCTTAAACTGCGGTACAGTCAACTTAAATTATTAAGTTCCACTTAACTCCTAAGCCGAAGCGCTGCAGTTGGCCCTTAGACTTACATGTAAATTGTAACTCAAAGACTAAAAGAGTTAGGAAGTTACTCTCCAATAAACTAAGAAACCTACAGAATTTCAGCTTTGTAGCTCGGTTTGATCATGGCTAAATTTGGAGTTTTTATGGACAGACAAACATTAATTTATATATACAGGGTGGTATTTTAGTGCGAGAGAGTCCATTATTTCCGTTGGAGTTGAACTTTCGAAAAATAGTTTCATATAAAAGTTGTTAACGCACAAGGTGCGCACATTTTAAAAATATCTTATATGATATAGAGTGCCTCAGAAAAGCGAGGCAATTGTATTGAACCAAAATATCAATACATTGTACAGGGTGTTACAATGTGGACTTCCACCTAAAACTTTTTAACGTAATATAACGTGTTTTTCAGATGGAAGTACCTGTATATTAATACGTCATTAGATAGACAATTTACAAAGTTACAAATTTGCCTTTATACTTTAAGCTGTAAAATCAACCGTTTTCAAATTATAATTTATTTTATTTAAAAATTTCAAAAAGTTGCATCATTTGGTAAGGTGGCTATGGAAGTCAATAAATAAGTGTCACTCTATTCTTGCAGATTTTGATAGAACCAGAAATAGCACCTAGCCTTAAATCCCAAATTAGCAGTATCGAACAGCTTCAAAGTGTCAAAAAAATTGATAGTGATGAAATATCCATTGGCACAAATTGTAAAAATGGAGGTTGTACGTTTTCCTATCAAGGTAAACTTGAATGTTACTATATAAACTGCAGTTATAGGAATCTATAGTGAGATTGTTATATTTCAGGAGTTGATTCCAATAACACTTTGTGTTTGCACCATCCAGGAGTTCCAATATTTCATGAAGGGCTGAAATATTGGTCGTGTTGTCAAAGAAAAACTACAGATTTCAATGCCTTTTTGAACCAGGAAGGCTGCAAAAAAGCAAATCATGTTTGGAAAAAAGATGATGTAAGTTTCAAAAAGGTAACATCTTTTTCACGAGCACAGTAACAGTAACTTATAATTAAAGAAAATAATTAAACTTACTTTACCATACTTCTGCTCTTCTCGGTCGTTTTCGCGTTCCCTTTCATAATAGGAATCAAATTTCCTCAGTAATCACTGTACATTTGAGCATCTTCTTCTTCTTCTACTTCTACTTCTAGGGGATATGCCAATCTGTTCCGTTCTGAAGTTGCCTCTGCATCTTTTCCTGAGAGGTATATTGCCAACTATCTCCCCATCTTTTAGGTGGCCTCCCGGGAGGTCTTGAACCGGGCACATTGTTTTCTAGGACTATTTCCGGAAGTCTGTTCTCTTCCATCCGTGTTACATGGTTGTACCACTGCCTCTTACGTTGTATTTCACATCTCACAATATCTTGTATTTGGCGCTCAATATTTTGTGTTCGGCCTCCCTTAACATGTGTTTCATGTTGTTATTGTCTTCACGGACTTCGGTTCCGTACGTCAGGATCGATCTGATATATGTAAGTCTGTAGATTATAATTTTGCCATCTTTGCGCATGTACGGGTTTAGCCAGACTGTAACTCGTAGGTATTCTGATAGTGTGGATGGTTTGTTAATCTGGCTCCTCAGGTCTTTAATTGGCTCGTGGGTGCTTTGATATGTCCAGATATCTGAATCGCATCACCTGTTCTATGGGATTGTCCTCCACCACTAGCTTACATCTGAACGGATCTTTCGTTATGGTCATACATTTGGTTTTGTTGATAGAAATGTTCATATTGAGTTGGCGGCTTACTTGGAAGAACTGGAAGTTTTCTCTGCAGGTCGCTTTCTAATTCAGCAATAATTGCTGCATCATCGGCGTAACACACACCGCACCATTTTTGTTGCCCAGTCTGTATCCGAGGTTACATCCTGATCTGTTACTTTATTTATAATTTTATCCATGAGAAGATTAAACAAGAAGGGACTTCTAAACAAGAACTAAACATCAAGATCAGAACAAGAACTAAACAAGAACGGACTTAAATTAGTGAGCATGAGTCAGTGAAGCGAGACTCTCTCGTAGATCTCTCGTAGATCGATAAAAAAAAAACCATTTATATAAAAGTGTTGTGGTTGTTGCCAAAGTATTTGTTTCTGTAACTTTGAAGCATACTTTACATACATTTATACTTACCCCGTATCTGCGTCCCGATATTTTTCATTACATTAGTTTATGTCTCTATTATTCCAGGAAACTAATGCTAAAGTCAACTGTAGATGGGATTACCACCAAACAGGTCCTTACATGATTGTATCAATCTATGCTAAAGAATATAGTCCAAGCAAAAGCGTCGTTCAACTAAATCCCATTAGGCTTTACGTCAACTTAGTATTTCCTCAGCAAAATAACGCTAACTTTGAGCTGGATATTGAATTAAAAGGGGTATCTGAAATTGTTCTGATTTTTGTTTATGTGCTTATTTTATCGTGGTTTTTAGATTGTTGACGTCTCAGTATGCAAGGTAACCATGTACGGTACTAAGGTAGAAATTAAACTGAAAAAGGCAGAAGCGTTGAATTGGCCAAGATTGGAAGCAAGAATAGTGAAGAAAACTGAGCCCCCAAAACCAGACTCACAAACTAACAATCTTCCGATTAAACTAGAAGCTGTCGATTTAAGCGACTTATAAGAAGTAATAATTGTTGGTAAATAGAAAGCTAAGTTTTTTGTAAAGTAAACTTTGAAAGTTTTTTGCAGACGATACAATGCTAATACTTCATAGCCGTGAACATGTCACACAAGAGTAAAATATAATATTTTTGTACTACTTATATTATTGATCGACTTGATTATTTGTATTCTGAACTGTGCTGTTTTAGAAAGTAAATTTGTAGTGGTATTAAGTTACACGTTGTAAATTATGGATTGTATCGGATTATTATTATCATAAAATACAATTACTTGTTTTTTCATTGAATCAGGTGCTTTTATTTTTGGTCAGCTGCTTGTGGTTTACTTGTATAAAGCAAATGAGATATTATTATTGCGTTACCCAACTGTTTTTATTCTTCAATAATGTCAGAACTGGACAGTAGTAAATCCATCTCTGCATTGCAAATGGAACTTATTATGCACAGCCAGTAAGTTGTTATTTACTTTGTCGATCGAGTGGAGGCCGGTCCGATTGTGAGGAGAGATACACGCACCGCGAATGGCATAGAATGATCAGTTTAAATAATATGTTTTTCCAATATCTACGCTGTGTCTCATATAGCTACAAACAACATGTATGACGTCTAATAGCTTCTCTTTTGAATAAAACGATATCACAAAAAAAAGGTACAAGTCGGCGATCACGGAGGCAATACCCAATGGCGGTTCTACCTATCCATGTATTTTACAAACCCCTATCCAAATATTCTCGAACTGCTAGGCTAAAATGGAATGGTGCTACATCATAATAGTAAATTGAGGGAAGTAAGTACGCCAGTTTGCAATAATATCGGTAGGAATTATTTGACGTTTCAATTGAGAGAATGGCGCGTCGGACACAATCGAATTTGAAACTAATGGGTTTTTCGGCTTTTTAGGCCGTCGTTCGGTAGAATTTCTTTTTGACGTATCGCAAGCACGAGTGGCTTGCATCTTCAGAAGTGGTTTGCTTGAACGCTTACACTGTTCTGATGCGATTCCTCAGGCGGAGTCCGTATTTATGCACCGGTTGCGATGACGTGGCCTGTGTCATCGCAGCCTGCGCATTCTGTTGGCTGTTACTATCCTCCGGTGTACTGGATTCTCTTTCCTGTCCTGTGTGTCTATTCTTGACTTTGAGAGAAGGGAGTATTCCCGGGAGCATCACAGGGAGTCGCTCCTCGCTCACGATCCCTAGCGTAAAAAATAG